GGCCGACACGATAAACGTGACGGGAGATATTTCGGAATTTGTTAATGAACCCGTGGTTAAATGTTTTAATAACCATTGATCAATTGGCTGACCATTGAAAGGTAATCAAAGATGTATCAAATAGACACATTGGTAAATTCATAGATTGCTGTAGATAGCTAGTGTGAGCCAGTGTCAGTCGATAGTACGATAGTTTGGATGTGCATTTCTTCGTTCTGTTCACTGGGATGGGTCTTAGCGAGGATATTCGTGAACGATCATGCAGTCAAACTCTCAATGTATACTAAGCGCTGATTTCAAGATTAAAGTGTCCAAATGATCAGAAAAAAGTACTAAGGTTTCCCCGGGAATGTGGAAATAGTCCGTCAGTGTTTACATCATTTCAGAAATACGTTCATACGCTTATGAACGTCAGCTTCGCGGTCATGTGACCAGTCTCTCGTCCAATGTAAAGACCGTATACCATATGTAAACATTACTTTAACAATATATACAATATATAGAAAGTGTTCGAAGCGGATCACCAACTCACTCACTTACAAACAGTAAGTTTTGATAACCAGTATATGGCCATTTTACGGTCTCAAATCTGCATCACGGCGTTTCACGGGATTCCAGGTACACGTCAATAAAGCCGGCCACGTTTGGCATCGAAACGCAGCGTTGTTGATTGCGCGTCACCCTACCCCTCCGACGTACTCGGACACACAGCCACTAGCTTGACTGACCGTCATAAATAGTTTTGTATATTACCTACAGGTAAAATTATTTTCCATAAAATACCGGTCTATTATGCTCCGACTCTAGTCGTCGTTACACGCACTCAGACAAACACTCGCGCCTTCACCATAGAGGGCATCTCGAATAATAATTATTGTTCCATGTGTTTATTACATCTGACATGAGCATTATTTGTTTGCCAGACATCAAATACCCACCTACCCCTTATATCCTAGTAAGACGACTGAAATTAGCGTAAAAAAATGTCAAACTGCAACCCTCGTCAAACGGGTTGACGTCTGTTACACAAATATTACACAAAACATATTGTTGACATTTCTTATATACAGTTATTAAGAAACTAATTATTATACTATTTTGAAACAAATCAAATACATACTCTAGAAGGCCATGACTCATATATTTCATGATCTTGGTGCTAGATACATCAGGCGGATTATTAGAACGAAAATATATCGTAATACTATGGATGCTGATACGTTCATTTCATCCTTCAAATATATCAGACCGCCGACGTGGTCCAATGGTAGAGCGTCTATCCAGAGAGCGGGTGGTCGGGGGTTCGATCCCTGGCCGCGTCATCCCAAAAGATGGTACTTGTTGTTACCCTGCCTGGCGCTCGGCATTAAGGGGCTAAAACAAGGACTGGTTCGGAGTCAGAATACTGTGTCTGAGTGGGGTATTCATGTTAAACTGCGGCATGGTATCTCAGTGAGCTAGCACTATTAAATCGGCATTAATTTGAACTTACAAGCAGCCACACACACACATACATGTACGTTGTAATTGCAATAATCTTAAACGCAACATTTCACCTCACACACAAATATACCAAATAAGCGGTTGACAAAAGTCAGGGACCCAGTTTGTTATTATTTTGTGATATGTAGTTCAAGCTTTTCACCAATCACCGATACATAATCTAGATGTTCGGTCCATGTTTGAAATACAGCTTTGTAAAAACGTACTTCTGATCATTCAGAATTGTTAACTGGTGTAAATAAAAGCAACAAACCCCTTTCCACATTCATTAATAATCGACTTTACGATTCCAGCTATATCATGAGCATGTATTTATGAATTACTTTCAAATAGTGATGATACCAGGTTCGCGAAAAGGTGAGAGTTTCCTGTCAAACCGGTGGCACCTGTCCCAAACACATGCAAAGGCAAAGGATATTGTTCAGCTGGAAAAAAACATGGGAACATACGGTACAAGTAAAAATAGTAAATTGCATCGGACATTATTTTTGTCAATGATGCGTCGAATTGGGAAATGTCTTTTAATGGTGTAACTATTTGCACAAGAGTCACGTGGCGCTTTTTAAACTCTTCGGGGAAAGAACATGGTCGATTGTACCTCAAAAGTTGTGAAATATAACCACCAAATGCTGGAGCTGCAGGAATATTGCTCGACATGAATGAGTGCAATTATCTTGAACGCGACGTTAAACCCCTTTTCAGCTCACCTCATTTTCAACAAATCTTTGCTCCCCGATTGTGCTATTGTGTACAGCTTGAACCTGACCACAAAGCAAGTTAATCGTCGACCAACCTATTATCGTGATTTATTCATGTAAAGGATACTTGCTTTGTGCATCAAACGTTCAGTTTGAAACATTAAAATAAATAATGAACCTAAAAACTCTAATATATCTTAACTGCTGTCAACATTCGCTGACCTCGTACACCGCTGAATGTCAGCGGAAGTAACTTGGACTCCCTCGGTCAAGGTCACACAAGAAATACGGAGCTCTGATTGGCTGAATTGCACATACGTTCTGGTTTGGTTGCGCTCTCCTACCCAGAGTTCCATGCTAAGTCACCACTGCGCCGGAGTGTAAATTGATTGACGCTTGTGGGTCGGTCTGTTTTCGCTAAGCATTATATTCTAAGGTGCTTCCCTAAAAGATCCAAATTCGCCGACTGTACTTTATCCTGCGAGAACGTCAAGCAGTCTGACGCAGGCGTCCTCGTGAAACACTATACTTTATGACACTATATAAGATAGCTACGCGTAAATCGTAAAGAACAATGAAGAACGAAGCGTGGTTTATTCCACAGTAAAGCATTGTTCTAAAATGACGTCATTTCTGGACATTCGAACATACGCTCGCAACATGAGGCCGTCGTTATTTGGACGACATTATTGGTGAGAGGTAAGTGAGTTGTTCCCCAAAGATGTAGCTTACAACGCAATGCAATGCTTGAACGATGACATCCAAAAGTGGCGAGATATGGCCATCAGTATTGGGAGAAAAGGTACTTAATCGACGTAAGAATCATGAGAATATGCGATAAATACCAAACTTAGCTGCGCCATGGTTTACTCTCCCTGCAGTGTTTTATTGTACGATTTACCAATCTCTCTCGTCGCGTATTTCTTAAACACATAGGTGTAGTTCAACTTTATTTCTTACATCTTGGTTTCCTGCTTATTGGCCATTGTTCCTTTGTTTTATTGTTTGCAAAGTGGCCAACAGCAACGTGACGTCATATGAACTTACTATCGCATACAGTTGAAAATGACGTTATCCAATGTTCATTTTGAAGGCGTTCATGACATCACACATGATTACACGTGATCATGTGTGATGTCGGTACAACAATAGACTGACTGAGGTGATGCCTCGACTTTAGACAAGGAAGCACACATTTTTCAACATTTTCGTGGAAAAGGACTATGGGTAATATGAAGAATAACCTATTCGCAACTCGAAAAGCCGGATTATCCAGTCAACTGTGTTATCACCTGGCCAAGTTTCGGAACTTATTATCCCTAATTCCTCGTAGCTTGTAGGTTAGTCTGAAAACGTACCTCACTGCGAAGAGAAGCATTATTCATTCATCTAGTCTGTCACACAGACCCTGAAACAAATCTATCCAATACAGCCCATGCAAGTCTATAATATTTGGCAAGTCTAGATTACTGCAGTATATGAAAATGAAGAACGTATCTGGGCTCATTTTTATCATATTTTATAATTATAATTTATCAACTGTATTTTTCGGTAAAATATGTTTATTTCAGAGCCCAGGTGTTAATACATCATACACCCTATCATTCAATAAATGCGTCAACGTTGTTGAAACTGGTTTATTATCACATTCAGTTATTTGGGTCTATGTGATACCCCGAAATCTCTATTTTTCTGAACACCGACAATACATGTTTGTCCCGGGGAAATTACCCTACGCCTACAAACCTAGCTGTATCTACAAGAACCTACCTGGTGTATATATCGGTTTAAACACATACCTCCGTACATTGATAGACACGTATCAAAACACTTATATGATATTAACAAAAAAAATACTGCACTTTGGAACAGATAAAGATCGTACCTTGTTCGTACTCGTTACTGAATTAATTACTTGACTTAGTACATGTATTAGGTGATCACAGTAGCCTTAACATTCCAATACAGGTATATGTCCATCAAATGAATTTCTGAACAAACCTTCCGAGGAGCACCTATCTGAAATACATGCTGATAAGAATAACAGACCAGGAATGCACGTGCCAATCGTCAAATCATGTGGTGTACCAATACAGATTAGGCAACAACAAACGAATTATGTGTGTGTCGGAACCACTGCCTCAGGCTCAAAAGAAGGAAAATATTAAAATCTCAATCAGTGATATTCGATTATTTGACTGAATATCAATATCCAAGTTCAGACAATCTCAGAATTTGTAAGTTTCCAAAACAACACGTTGTCACTCGTCTCCCGAATAGTAACTTTGCGAAATATACTTTTGTATCATACCTCCATGTCAGAATGATGAGATATGATTGGTTCACGTGATCATGATAAAATACTATGTATCCCTCCTTGGAGGGAAATAGATTTCTGAGCGGGAGAATAAATCCCTTATACCCCGCTTCGAAGCAAAAAGCCACATGCTGTAGCCGAGTCAATGAAAGTCACGTGACAGCAAAACTTAACCATAGCTCAATCGAACAGCTGTTTTCTGTCAATTTGGAATTATCTTACAATGGCAGATTAAAACATGTCGGTAAGATAAATTCGTTGTAGCAGTTCTCGGCGTAGTCGTAGTTTTATGCTCGTCCGGCTCGTGGTATAAAACCTGACACAGGACGCGTAATACCACACGTACCCCTCGTGATACTGCTACAGCTCGTTGACGGAAGAACTCTGAAAACACTCCAAGTTACTTATCCAGATTGACATAAGATTAACGGACCATATAGAGTAGATTCTTGAATACTGTGGGAGTTGAGTACTGTACTTACTGGAGCCACTTCCGCACGTAATAACCGGGATGGACCACAGGCACAGTAGCAGTCTTAGCATCGTTACTGCAGTAGATGCTGTTCACAACGTCGATGCAATGTTACCTACAATTTAAAAACATCTATCAAACATACTGTACGTGTATGGGTAATGGTAGTAGCCTCAAGACAAGACACACATTGTTCCACTTAAGTCGAGTGATTTGCACGTGTCTCCGTCATCTCGTACACATTCCAAAACTGAATGCTGTGACTTTACCGACGTTCGAGGCAATGAGAAAGAAAACATGAAGATCTTGGATGCAAATATAGGATTATGGATCGGAAGACACATGGCGTTATGATGTACCGAGAGTCGTACAATTTGCTGGACGTCAGAGAGACTGGCAACAGGGTGTTAAATGTTGCAACCATTCTGGATTTTGATTCCCGTAGCTAGCTTCAAAAACATCTTACTAAGTTGAGTAAGCATCTCGGGGCGTTGTACACATATTGAGCGTGGGGTGTTGGTAAAACAATGCAACACGACTGCTTGCCACTAACCGCTGTTCAGGAGTAGACACGTATTGCGGCCTACATCAGTCCATACTAAAATAGCCCAGTCGTCTAAGGCGCCGCAATTCGTTATGCAGAGTTGCGTCCCTTACCTGTGACAGAGACCGATGACCGTGGGTTCGAATACCAGAACCGCCCTGTTTCTAGGTACCATACCAGTGCTCGTGGGTATCACCGAAGTTTTGTTTGTTTGTTGTTGTTTAACGCCGCACTCAGCAATATTCCAGCTTTATGACGTCGGTCTGTAAATAATCGAGTCTGGACCAGACAATCCAGTGACTGACATCATGAGCATCGATCCACGCAATTTGGATACGATAACATGTATCAGTGAGCGTGACCACCCGATCCCTTTAGTCGCCTCTTACGACAAGCACAATCGGATATCTTCACGGGATTTCACCGAAGTAGTAAATGTACAAGAACTGCATCATTTTGGGTTTTCTCCAAAATCAAGCTGACACGCGGTGATATAACCGAAATACTGTTCATAGCGGCGTTAAACCAAACTCACTCAGTCTTACATTTACTACCCTTCAGTGTTCAACAAAATTATCAGAAGCGGGACACACACTATCAATGAAAAGGCCACCTTTCAATTATCAGCCAATTCATCAATGATTATTAAAACATGTAACCGCTACAGGTTCATTAACAAATTCCGAAAATCTCCCTTCACGTTTATCGTGTCGGCCATTTTGACGTCTTGTACTTGATGTAAATGTATTACGGCGCGCTGTCATTGTGACTGACTTACTAAGGTAGTTTCATAACAGACCTTTCTCATCTAATGGTGATATTATTTGAATACATGTGTTGTGTCAGATGTTTCGGAAGACCAAGCCGTGTATACATACGCTTATGTCACCTCTCGTTTTGAGGGACTATTTTATTACGCGATACAGCTGGTTGTTGTATGAATGTCAGTGTTAACATGGAGTCACGCGTACTGAATGAAATTGTGTAAAAACCTAGGTCGACATCCTTTGAGGTAAAAAAATTGGGATAAAAGGTTATAAGAATTGACTTTCACTTTGTATGAGAACCTTTGTTCATACTGTTTGACCCTCACTCAATGAAGGTTCATACTCGAGTGAACTAACACAAAGTGAAAGTCAATTCTGAATTGCATAACAGTTATGTGTTTACTCACGTATGATGTACACAACAACATACCCGCTGTTACTGACTGCCAATCAGGCTCGTGACCTAACTTTCCAGAAGTAGTACTCATCATGCCTTGGCTGCCTTCCTTTGTTGGATTAAGCCTATGGCAATTGGGAATAATTGAAGCTTTAAACCATAATTTGATAAGACTCTACAAATATTGACAAATGACTCTTGATTGTGCAAGCTATGAAACATTTATTACTTCATCAATAACCATATGTACATTAGAGCTTTAAAAACACGTTGCAGTCTACCTCGTGAAAGGCAGGAAACAAAAGCTACACGAACAATACAACCTTGAGAAACGAAATAATATTAGATTTCTACATATTTTAACCTATTTGCCAGATAAATCACAATGGGATGTTATTGGTAAACAGAGAACTTAATGTCTACAGGAATATTTCGGATCACCGATAATATAACAAAACAGTCATACTAAGTGTGACATTATATACTGTGCTTAATATAAACATATTCACAGAGCGAGAAATTTTATGGTATAACTCAGCAACTATATACCTTGCTGGCAAAAGTCATCAATAATAAATTTGAAATAATATGTCGTGCTTAAAAATATTATTTATTAAATCTTAAATTCAATTATATGTCAGCATTCGGAAAATTCAACTTTATACACACTCAAACAATGGCACTACTAAACATACTATCATGCACGAGTGGGCTGGTCAAACCGTTCTAAGCCAAACAAATAAAACCAACAATTGTGAAAATGTTTTTATTTAATTTTTCAACTTAATCTCCCTGCTGTTCAATACAATTGAAGCTTTTCAATTCCAGTCAGGAAAAAGTCTTCTGAAGCCACCCTGAAAAACCCATTCACGTCAGCTTTGAGATCATCGTTGTCGTTATAGCGCTTTCCAGGTGTTCTTTCAGTTTAGGAAACAGGTGGAAATCACTTGGTGCCAGGACTGGCGAGAATGGAAGGTGGGGAAGCTCTTCGAACCAACATTATCGCACTGCAGCCTATGCAAGTCGATAGGTGTGAGAAAAGTCATGAAGTGGCAGAACTCCAACGATCAGCATTCCTCGAAACTTTTCTTTGATAGAATCTATCAGGCGATGAAGCAAATCAGCATAGAAGGCACCGGTAATCGTCGTTTGACTTTCTAAGTAATCCAGACGGATCACACCCTTTGCATCCCAGATTACATTAGCCATAACTTTCTTCACTGATCTTAAAGACTTGAATTTCTTTGTTGCCGGAGAAGTGGAATGGTGCCATTCCATGTATTGACGTTTTGACTCGGGATTATAGTGGAAGACCCATGTTTCATCACTCGTTACTAATCTCTTTTTGAATTTGACAAAATCCTCCTTAATTAGCTCTAAAATGTTTCTGGCGATGTCACTTTTTTTTCATTAAGATCAGAATTTAGAATCCTTGGCACCCAATGAACAGATATCTTATTCATCTGTAAATGTTCATGAATAATAGTTTCAATGGATCCATGGATTAGACCTGTGTCTTCCTCAAGTTCGGCAATGGTAATAAATCTGACAGTATAATCTTTTATACCTCTTTGATTGAATCTACTTGGAAGTTGAGGGACCCCCAGACTAGGGTCATCTTCAAGGCTTGTTCTCCAAACCTTAAACATAGCTGCCGAACGTTTAACAATGGAATAGCTAGGGCACTTTCCCCCCATCTTCCCGAAGCAAGAGAGTTAACTGACTGTAAAAGTCCAGTTTCCACCCGAACTAGGTTTGCCGAACTAGGCTGCTGTTATGGAGTTACATTTTGGCTGGACTAACGAGTCTATGCATAGTCCAATCAAAATCGTGCAACGAAATCGAAATCCGTTTCGTAAACTGTAATGCAGATTTCGGTCGATTGCAGGATTTGCAAAGCATGTGCACCGCCAACTCGTTGTCAGCAGATATTTTCCAAATCTTTTCATGTTTTTAATCAAGGTGCTCACGTGAGTTGATTCATTTCGCGATGTAAGACCCGTTTTATCACAATATAGATCTTGATTATTGATCAGATCGTCCTGACCTGGCGCCGCCATTTTGTTGGAAGCAAATGCAAGTGATATGAGAGGTTGAATCTGATTGGTCATTAGGAGAGGCTTAGAAGGGACATAACTGGTAATAGCCACCGGTGGCGCTATGATCGAGCCCAGGAATTTCAGCCTAGTTCGGCAAGGGTGGATCTGGACTTTTAAAGTCAATTCGCTCTCTTGCCTCGGGAAGATGCTTTTCCCCATACACTTGTGACATGCGGTCATAAATTTCTTGGAGAGTACCTTTCTCTAAAGTAAAAAAACTTGATGATTGCTCGGTACTGGTTATTTTCCATTTCTGTGTCCATTTGGGCCCCTGTCACGTTCAACTGCCTGTCACTAATATACAAACGGCCTCAAAAGACCAATATAATTGCAATGTACTACATTGGCTGGTTCACTCTGTTATGGCCTATAGTTGAAAGTTAGTCAGGTTTAGAACTTTTTGACTTGCCCTCGTAATAATCCTTGAACATGTCCAACAAGAACGTTACAACTTTCTGTGTTGTATTCTAGTTGTGCTCATTCTATCAATCACTGGTTTATCTGGTCAAGGCCACCGTAATATAAATTCAGGGGCAAAAGAAAGTATACCGAGTTTGTTTTTCACGCAATTTGTTAAATTTGAGTATGTCTATATAAAACCATCATTATTCCTGCAACAGTTTGAAAAAGGAAAACGGTGGGGGGGTACTTTTGTGTAAAATTAAATTGGTTCAATAATGACGGGGATAAGAAATGAATTTGCAACCACATGACCTGAACCATTTTTGAACTGTTAATTTGTGCCGAAAAACGCAAATTTGTTTATTTCCAAAGACAATTCCAAGTAACCCATCAATAGTTGGGTCTTATGCGAATTTATTTGTTATATTTTTAAAAGTTTTAAGTCAAATTATTTTTAAAAATATAAACATGTAGAAATATTCTTTGAGTGCTGACTTAGCGCCAGTACGATTCGTTTTTTGGACCTGATATCGCTAACTTGAGATATTTTCAATTGAACATCACACGTATGATAATGTCAACTGATAGACATGGTTTATTTGGCTCATCCGTATATCTGGAGTACTGCTGCACACTTTGACATCATTCATGCCTTACTTACCACAAAACCTCTTAAATATAGTGTATCCATGTCTGAATTGTCTTCAGTTTATTTGTTTTTGCTTTTATCAAACATTTACCGTGATGATAATTCTTCATTAGCCCTTAATGGTGCTCAAAGCTTAAGTTTAAGTCGCGTCGACTGAGTTGAATGTTTTATAGATGTAATCAGTTGTGCCTGTGGCCCCTTTCCTGCAACGCCATATATGAGTGCAATAATCTTTGACGCGACGTAAAACCTCACCTTTCCTGCAATGGAAATAAACCAGTTTCCTTGTACCTTATTTTGATTGTGGCCACAAACGTAATTGAGATTGTTTTGAGGGGAATCTATATCTCGAAAAATAAAGATTACCCAAATGTCATCACAGTGGTCAAAACAAGATTATGTACAACATTTGCGCAATAATTCTTTTTATTATTTCATTGTTGTGAACTTCCTTCCTATAATTGCACATCAAGGCTTGCCATTTGTTAATCCAAATCGTGACACAGTGATCTAACTTAAAGTCTGTCATAGATTCATCATTAAATATAAGGGGGCACGGGTGTCCCAGTCGTCTAAGGCGCCGCGATTTGCTGTGCAGAGTGGCGTCCCTTAGGCACGCCAGAAACCTATGATTGAGGGTTCGAATCCCGATTCACCCCAATTATGTTT